GCAGGGGTAGGGTGGGGAGTCGTGAGGGGCGTGTGAAGGGTCTGGGCGAGGCAGTGTGGCTCGGGCTGTGCAGTGCGACCTTTGATGCCCGAGGAAGAACACCTCGGTCCCCCGTCATTCTCCTGGGCGGATGCCACAGAGTTCCACCCACTCGCACTCCCCCCCAGACACTCCGCTCACACTCTGACGCACCCCTCACGCCCCCTCCCCCCCCCGAAACAAATCCGAAAGACGGCCGAGCTGGTGGCGCTGGTGCCCGAAATGCGGCTGGAGGTGTATGTGCTGCTACGCAAGGAGAAGGAGGCCGCCGACCTGCTGGGCATCGTGCAGGGTCTCATCACGCAGCACGCGTCTGTTGAGGTGGGGGTCGGTGGGTGTAGAGGGGGTCAGAGGGGTATGCCCCGCTGCGGGTCGCTTTCAGGCCGCTTGCCATGGATGCGCAGCGGGGAGGTCTGGAAGGCCCATGTCCCCATCGCGGGTGCCACGCTGCAAGCAGGGCTGACATGCCGAGTCATGCTGGCAACTCTGCCCCCCCCGCGGCCCTGCCATCCTCTACCACCTCGACGCCCCTCCCCTCCCACCCTCACGACCACCCAGGCGGTGGAGGCCTGCGCGGCAGCGCTGGCGCACGCCGCTCGCGACGGCCCGGGCGCGCTCAGGGACGGCGCGCGCGCGCTGCTGGACCGGAGCCTGGACGCCGCGCTGTGCGCGCTGCGCGCCGCCCTGGACGCGCTGGACGAGGCCGGTGAGGAGGGGGTGGACCGCACGCCGGGCGACCGCGGCGACGACGGGGAAGCCGCCGAGCACGCGCTCGCCTTCGATGTACGCGTGGCCGCCGAGCAGCTGGCCGCGCTGGCCGCGGTGCACGCGCGGTGCGAGGGCGCCGGCGCCCCGGCCCTGCGCCTGCTGGCCCGCCGCCCGGCGCTCGGCCCCGCGACGCGCCGAGCGGGCGTGCGCGCCGCTGGTGCGGCGCTGATGTGGCGCCTGCAGGCGCTGCAGGAGGCCGGCGCCGCGGCTGCCACCGAGGAGCTGGAGGATCTGGTGCGGGAGCGCGACGCCCTCGTGGCCGCGCTGGAGCTCCGGCTCCAGGACCATGGCGTGGCTGGCGACGAGGTCCTTGCGGTGAGGAGGATGGGTGGTGTGGGTCGGGTGGTGAGGGAG